GTTATAAAATTGATTAATTTTAATTTTTAATATGATGACCACCATGTCAGCAGTAACAGATAGAACATGTCAAATTCGATTTAATTGCAAGATTTTAAATTGTTCAAGGATTAAATTATAATATTTTTAAGTAGTGTTTATCAAGTTTCTATCTAAATCAATGAATAAGCTAGTCCATGTCATAGCTAGGGCGACCCGTTCTCAAACTAGTCCCTTGTGTTGGTTAACATCGGTTCCCTTGTGTATTGAATACTTGCTTTAATAAAAGTTTGAATACTATTTCCTTTCAAAAAAAATTATAATATTTTTGAGTTAATTGACTAAATTATATTTTTGTGTGTAATTCAATGGTCTATTTGAGAATTATTCCAATAATATATTTATAAGGAAACTAAATTGAAAGGAAAGTACCAGGACTATGTGGTCCAATGGTATCCGGGTTGGACTTCCATTTGGAAGATTATAAGTTCGAGCCTCAGTGGAGGCGTTATTGGTTCTTTGTGTTTCAGTAGGTTGAGAAAGTATATGAACAGATACTACAATGTAATAGAGCCAGTAACTTTCAAAAAAAAAAAAAAAAATTGAAAGGAAAGTAGCGAGTGTATAACACGGAGCACGACTAACGCCTATAACTGGTCATAAAAGAAGTTTATTTGTCCCTACTTATAATCTTTGCGTTTCCAAGAAAAAGTTTTTGAATTATTGCATATGTACAAATCAACATTATTTATGAAATTTCTTCATCTAATTAGTTTCGCAGACTTACGCACACAAATAAGTCTTTTTAAGCTGGGTTTTACGAACATAGTTATGCCAATAATAATAATAATAATAATAATAATAATAATAATAATATTATAATAATAATAATAATAATAATTACTCACGTTTACAATTTATATACACTACTGGAAATTATGGAATTTCCGACCACCTTAAAGTGATCTTAAATCAAATCGAAAGCAAAAAGTGGTCGGAAATAGCAACAAAGATTTTTCCGGATACCAAAAGTGATTGGAACAATGCTTTCGACTTGATTTAAGATCACTTTCAGGTGATCGAAAATTTCATAATTTTCAGTATTGATAGTTTTGTGTGTAATTACTGATGGAGAAAATTAACCCGGGATATGTAGTTATGTATGGATCAATTTATCAATTAACTCGCATAAAATATAAAAAATTAAGGGCAAACGATTGCATGGAATTGTGTTCTAGTATTAGACGGAATAAGCTAAAGTATTACAAGTAGATTGCAAGAATGAGGTTCTTTAGGATTGAATGAGCATGCCACCTTGTCTGATCCTAGAGCCTTTATATAAGGTCCTTCCTGTAGTTGTAATCTCTCCTAATATTAAGGCGGTAAAACTATAACAATATGTATTGAATGATTTAATCAATACTTCCATCTAGAGGTGGGTGTCAGTTCGGTTTGTGCACGGGGCATCAAAGTTATGACCTTCCTCGCTCGGAGCATTGAAGATCATATGAAAGTCACGGTTAGGTGCATGGAACACCCAAGAGCTGCGGTTAAGTGCACGGAGCACCCAAGAGTTCACAAAAGTTGTTCACTGCATGCTAAATAACGTATGATTAGTGGGTCATGCCATTAGTATTGATTTATATATAAAATTAAAATTGAAGATAGGTTCGAAAATCTCTATCTTCCTTTAATTTAGTGTGACCAACACCACACTTATTCGTAGTAACGGTTGTTGTAAGAGGTAGCGCGGAGCTTACCGTTTAATTTAGAAGGTAGCGCGGAGCTTATTACCATTTAATCTAAGTGGCAGCGCAGGACTTGCGTTGCAATACAATTGGTAGCACAGAGCGTACCACATCATATTATGTAAGTGGCAGCATGGAGCTTGCCAAATTATACCGTTGTTCGAATAAATTAGCAGTTGGCCACATCAATTTGTTAAATAATAATAATAACAATAACAATAACAATAACAACAACAACAACAACAACAACAACAACAACAACAACAATAATAATAATAATAATAATAATAATAATAATAATAATAATAATAATAATAATAATAATAATAATAATAACAACAACAACAATACTTATTTTTTAGCATTGAAAAAATTGGGATTGTGTTCATCACGTTCAGGCAATGAGTTCCCATGCATGACTACCTTCACCGTGCCGTCTCACCGGATCGTTTAGCCGGTACTGGAAATTGAAACAGTGAGCGACGCTGATGGAAAGCGCGCCCAACAGCACCGCCAGGTCCTCCACGTCCAGCTCTTTCGCCTTGAAAAGCTCCGCCATCTGAATATTTGATCCACCGTGTTGTCCGGCGATGCAAGATGTTTTCACGCGTCGCGGCGTCGGCTTCCCGGGAGACATTCCTGTCGCTCCTCCAGCCGGGAACGTCGAACTACGGCAATCCGGATAATACAACCGCGTCCCGTGGCGAAAATGTTAGGATATCGGCGCAGGACACCACTCCCGGGCAGCTCTGCTACAACTCCTCCTTGTCTGGTTGATGAGATCGAACCCTCAAACGGTTTTTTCCGTTCGTCGGTGCTTGTGATACGATCCCACATTGGCTCCACAAGAGATTGTGGAGTGGTACTTAAGTTGGGGCCAGACCTCAACTCATGAGCTAGTTTTTGTGGTGGAGTTAGGGTCTTGGCTTGAGTACCGTATCATTGGTGTTTTCATTAAGAAGCCAGAGTGTGGTGGTAAAGGGCTAACCGGTGCTTGATAAGGTTACAAGGGAACTGGGAAGAGTTCGGAGTGAAAGCTATCCAAAGTGAAGCCGTCCACTCATCCAGTGCCGGCCAAGCAGAGGGGGTGACCTAGAAAAGGGCTACCGGTTCTTGATAAGGGCTTGATAAGGTCCGGAGTGAAGCCATCCAAAGGGGGAAAAAGGCTAAAGTCCGGAGTGTGAGCCGTCTAGAGTAAGCCACCACGGGTGGGCAATGATACGATCCCATATCAGCCCCACAAGAGATTGTGGAGTGGTACTTAAGTTGGGGCTAGACCTCCACTCATGAACTAGCTTTTGTGGTAGAGTTAGAGTCTTGGCTTAAATACCGTATTAGCTTGCTTATCCATGCGACCAAAGTGCCAATACTTCGCAAATTATGCTGTGCAACCGAATGCACCTTGCAAGGTGCATACGGTTGCAAAACGGCGCCGTTTTGGTTAAAAAAACGCGCGTCCCACTTAAAGATGAAATCAGGTTCGATTCCCGGCAATAACATTTTTATATATCCAGAAATTCATAACTATATATCCAGAAATTCATAACTATATATCCACAAATTTATAACTATATATCCACAGTGAATGAATGAAATAAAAATCCACAATGAATGAATGAATGAAGTAAAAATCCATAATGAATGAATGAATGAAGTAAAAATCCACAATGAATGAACTAAATATCCATAAATTCATAACTATATATCCATAAATTCATAACTATATATCCACAGTGAATGAATGAAGTAAATATCTACCATGAATGAACTAAATATCCACAATGAATGAACTAAATATCCATAAATTCATAACTATATATCCACAAATTTATAATTATATATCCAGAAATTCATAACTATATATCCACAATAATGCTATTGTCGAGAATCAAACCTGAATTTTTTTTTTTTTTTAAGTGAGACGCGCGTTTTTAGTCAAAACGACGTCGTTTTGCGTCGTATGCACCATGCACATGGTACATTCGGTTGCACGGCATAACTATTGCCAATACTTGCTTATTCCGGTGTCCGTCACGCCAGCAATATAATACTGATCCATTACATCTAGTGACGAAGCAGTCGTAAACAAAAATAATCCTTCTAAAACTGTATGGAAGGAGCCACCAATCTGCACTAAAACATAAAATAATTTTATGATTCATGAAGGTGTCGGATATGTTGGAAGCAGATGCAAGATTTCTCGTACGTGATACGGTTATCTTTGTTTGTGAAATCTTGGATTGGTGCCATTGGTTTGAGTTTGAGTAGTTCGAAGAGAGCGAATTAAACTTGAGTGTTTAATCAACTCTCAACAAGAGCACCAATGGAATTAATTGATCCGAGGTATGCAATTATATATGGATCAACTAATTCGCTTAAAATATAATGAATATATAAAAGGCAAACAATTGCATGGAATTGTGCTATGGTATTAGATGGAATAAGCTAAAGTATTACAAGTAGATTGCAAGAATGAGGTTCTTTAGGACTGAATGACCCGCCACCATGTCTGATTCCAGAGCCTTTATATAAGGTCCTTCCTGTAATTGTAACCTCTCCTAATATTAAGGACACATAATGCTCCTATTTTCTTGGCCGGACTCTTTTTTCTTTGGCTGCATCTTTCTTCTTAAATAATAATAATAATAATATGGAATATATTGTTCCATCAATTATAATACAGCATTAGGCCAATGACCTTGTGGTCTAGTGGTATGAAATAACTCTCAAATGAGAAGTGATTAGCTTATAGATACTACATTGTAACAGAGTGAGTAGTATTAAAAAAAGAAAACAATACAGTATTAGGCCACTCTATATAAGAATTAACCAAAAGGATCAAATACCATACCCTCATTTACTATAATAGATTGTGTAATATTGACATCCTAAATTTACAAAGGTGAATCTTGTATGAGACAGACAATTCAAGATTGAATTGTTTGTTATTTATAAGAAAAATTGTAATACTTTTGAGGAAAAATGAAATGTTTTTAAATCAAAACGTAATATTTAATTAGTGGTTAAACAATTATTTATTAGAAAAATTATACTACGTAATAATAATCAGGGTTAAATGGATTGATTATTACTTATGAGAAAAAATATAATATATACTTATGATAAAAAAAATGTTATGCTTTTTATTAAAAATATGTAATACTTTTAAGAGAAAAATACATTTTTTTAGTCACTCATGTTTTATTGGTGCAATATGCATCCTTAACTCTTTAAAAAAAGTTACGGTTTTAACCCCTTGATCAATTAACTTCATTAGAGTATGTGCAAGATTTCAAAATAGAAATCTAGTACAATATTTTTTATTTATTTAAAACATACTTGCAAAGATATATTTTACCATAGTTATATAAATTTTAAAGTTTTTCATAAGATATCCATCTTTTAAATATGATGAAGCATTCAAGGGGCGTGTATACTGGAGCACTGTGGCCCGATCCCTGTTACAAAATATGAACTTAGGTCTATACACAAACAAATATATCTTGAGCTAGTAAACAAAAGATGAGTAAATTATTACCTTGATTTTGGCATATGTCATGTTGTTAGAGAAGGTCCTTGTATAGCCACATGACAATTGAATGATTTTTGTTAGTTTTTCTTATACTTCATATAACATAAATCTATAGTGTATTTTTATAACATACCCAACAATTTGGTTGTTCACAAACCATGGTCGCCAATCATCAACTATAGAATAACCCAATGACTTTGTCCATGCTTCATTTGAAAGTGAGCATACAAATAAATCATGATCTCCACTGAAAACATAGAAACGTTTACTTTAGATTAGTAAAAAACAGTAATCTTTAAGTAAATATCTTGAACATATCAAAATTTTAGTAAATGAGTTGCTTTCAAATTTGAACCCATAGAATAGTTGTTAACATAATATTATAACTAGAAACTGTTAATAGTGTATGCCTTGCTATTGAAGGATGGCAGTATATATAACAGTATTGCATTCTTGCTTGTATGAACTATATAGTATGAATTGATTGTTTAGAATTCTGATAACACAATCCTCTCGTGGAGAGTTTTGATCTTTGTACGGCCATTATATTGAGCAGCGTTACATGATGATATTTCCTTTTTTTTTCCTTTTAGCTGAATCACAAGTTAAAAGTCCACTGGGCACTCTTCGGGGCCATACACCAAGTGTTCAAACACCTCAAACTCAATCATTAGAGACAAGTGGTGATGACTGATGAAGGAAATACTATAGAAACCCTGATTTCTTGCGGCATGCGGTGCAATATCAAGGCATTGATGAGATAGTGTCCTGCTTCAGTATTGATGTATTTGACCCACATGGATATCATAAATCTGAATTCTATGATGAAATAGGTTGTAAGGAAGCTCCATTTTTTTTCTTCCTTCTATCAAGTATCAGAAACCCAATCTGCCAATTCCAGGTTTTAGTCATTTTCATATTGTAACTCTCTTCTTTGTTTTGTATTGCATCATTCACAGTGATAGTAATTTGTTGTTCATCCTTTTACTGGTCCAGGTCTTGTAGCTGGTAGTGGATTGAGTGCAGCACCAACTTCTGTCGATGCTATACCTCGGGGCAGCAGACAGAACAAAAAGTCCAAGTGGTATATGGTTATGAGGACTTGAGGAGTTGAAATTATTAATTATTATAATATTTATATATAATACTAGTATTTTGTAGGCGTGATGCGTGATAATTTATGTCCAACATTAAAAAATTGATAAATGTAAATAATTACAAATTATAGTTCAAATTATATTTCGCAATTCCAAGTAGTAAATTTTAATCATCGTATTTGAAAACTATAGAGATGAACAAAATTTATATTTTGTTTATTAATAATGTAAACAATTTTGATTATACTTTTTTTTTACAATAAATAAATAAAATATCTATAATACTAATCTAGTAACCGGTCACATATATTGGTGCGTGTGCGTGCCTATATCACTACTGGAAATTCTGAAATTTCCGACCACCTGAAAGTGATCTTAAATCAAGTTGAAAGTCTTGTTCCGACCACTTTTGGTATTCGGAAAAACCTTTGTTGCTATTTCCGACCACTTTTTGGACTTTTTGATATCAACTTAATTTAAGATCATTTTCAGGTGGTCGGAAATTTCAGAATTTCCAGTAGTGTATATATACACACACACATATATGATTTACTATTCATAGAAATTTAATTAAAATATAATCAACAATTAAAGTAATTACATAATAATTTTAATAAAATAATAATTAAAGAATAGGAAAAAGATATCATAGATAATTAGATATAGGTGTATGATAATAATAATAATAATAGAATTATGAAAGGTTTAGAATTAAATAGTAACGGTGTAATAACGGTATAAGGGTATTTTAGTCTAACAAGAATGTAGTAGGGACAATTTTGTCCATTACAATTGTAGTGTACAACTTTTAATAAAAAAATGTATACCTTTATTAACATACAAATGTAAACATTAATACAAGTGTGTTTATAGTTTAGTGGGTAAAGCTCTTAATTTTAAACTTGGTGGTTAAGGGTTCAAACCTTATTTAAGACATTTAATACATTATATATATTTATTATTATATAAAAAAAAAAATAGAACAACTGATCGGTTCTAAACCCGAACGGAACTGATCAGATTACCTAAACCAAGTATCAATCGGTACTTCGGTTTAGGACTGAACCGAACCACTTCGGTTCGGTTCGGGTAATCCGAACTACCCGAGCCGAAGTAACTATAAACATTGTTTAACTTTTCGCCTTGTCTCACTTTGTACATCTTTCCTCCTACATTTGCACATTAGCCCTTAAATCCACTTCTGAAACTGTTGGTCCCGGTAGGGTCAGAGAGAGTCTAGAAGGGGGGGGGGGGGGTGAATAGACTCTAATCGATTCTTTTCGAATAATCTCCTTTCGGAGATATACGCAGCGGAGATAGTGTTTGTTTTAAATATTCCTTGCACGCTTTCGTGTTAGTAAAACTTAGCGTTTGATCGATGTGATATGATATGCAAAGCATGAAAGTAAAAGCGATAAGTAAAAAGAGATGGACAGAGAGATTTTTATAGTGGTTCGGCCAACTGTGCCTACTCCACTCTTCTTTCACAACTTGTGATGAAAGGGTTTGTACTATCACTCCTAGTACAAACTACGTCAAGCTGACTTCCTTGATCACTAAGCCGGACAACCACTTGAAAGGTTTTTCAACTCATCGAGTTTACTCCGCCTCTATCAACTCCTTCCTAAGCTGAGATGTTGGAAAGATAATCTGATGTTTCTCCAACAGGTTGAAGCTTGTCTTGACGTCTGGATTGGTCTTCACTTGAGAAAACTACAAGACAGCTTCTAGTTGTGAAGTATGAGGATGAATATGCCTTTGAAAAACTTCACAACTAACACTGGTTATGAAAAGCTTTTGGAGATGAGACTGTTTGAAGAGCTTTTCTTAAGATTGCAAGAGTGAGTTAACCAACACCTTTTTCAATGGTGAAAAGAGGTATTTATAGGTGGAAAAACCCATCCGTTGGAGGGAGATGAAAATTTCAAACCTAATAACAGTGTGTATTACTTCGTGGGCAAAAGGCATTTAATGCACTTGTATTGTATAGCCATTGGAGCCTAAAAGCATTATGGCTTTTGTTCTTGATATCTGACAAGATGGTATAAGTCTTTTAGTGCTCCTTGTCTTTAGTAAAAATCATTCCTAGGACACTTTTTGTCCGAATGATTTGCCCATCTGAGTGATAGACAACATTCTCATTGTTTCCTTTAATGAGTGTTGTCTTTCTACAAGTCTGTCCTTGACTTGTTCACGAGAGACGAAAGATTGTCCTCATCTTTCGTCCTTCTTTCTTAGACGAAGATTCCTTTTGTAAAAGCAGTTCATCCGAGACTTGCTTTAATCCTTCTTTCGTCTGGAGGCATCTTTCGATCATCTTCAAATCTTCATGTAGACCTATTGTACTAGTCTCGTGCATGGTTTAACATCTCATGCCTATGTCATAAGAGACTTATCTAACAAGCGAAAAATAGGGGTCTACAATCTAAGACAGTTTGGTATCATCAAAATCTAAATACACTTGTTCCTAACAGAAACAAATTTTATCTATAACTTTGAGTTAATTTCACTTTTGGTCCTATGACTATTGATGTGTTGTTAATTTCAATCCACAAGTTTTAAAACTGTCAATTTAGTACTGCAATTATTCAATTTTTTATAAATTTTAGTCCATCCAATCCGGCCTAATCGCTGGTGAAAAGTGACCGAAAAATTCTAATAGTAAAATAATGAGGACATTTTGGTCTTTTACTTCTTCTTTGTTCTTCTTCTCCATTGGGTCTTCATCTCCTATTTATGCCGTCAATTCCCGCCGTCGCTCTCCGACCATTGGGTCTTCCTTGTTCCTCTGAATCTGCAGGTGAACGATCTTTCATTTCTTCTGAATTAATTCCTCCTCAAGTTTATTAATTACCTCATCTGAATCTGAACACTCTCCGATCTCTTTCACCGAGAATTGAATGTTGATCGGAGAATTCTTCGTCCTCATCATCTCCGTCCGCCAAGGACGAATGCTTCTAGTTTTTTTCTACTAAATTGTGGAAAATTGAAGCTTCAAAATGGACATAACATAATATAATATCACCTAAGTGGATCTATATGGACCTTTCATTGGTTGAAAACACTCAATAAAATCCAATTCCTTAATTTTCCCATCACCACTTGATATGGAACAATATGGCCGCCGGAGTGCTTGGGCTGCGACGAAGGATGCCACGCCGTTTCGCTTGATCATAGCAGTGCTTGGGCTTCAATGGAGGAGGAGGGCAGCTATGGAGATGACAGATAAAAAGATAAAAAGACGAAATTACCCTTGTAATTAAACATAATGTGGTCAATTAATTTTTTCCGGTGAGTTTTGACCAAAAATTTGGTCGAAGTGATCAAAATTGATAAAGATTGAATAGTTAACGTACTAAATTGACAGTTTTGCAAGGCAATTTATATCGTGCACCACGGCACAAAACGCACGCGTTTCATGCTGACATCACTCCGTCCATCCGAACATACCAAAATCTCATTATGTGTATTCAGTTAAAATTTTATGTGTATTGTGTTATGAGTTTATGTGTATTCAGTTAAGAGTTTATGTGTATTATGTTAACCAAATCTATTATGTGTATTCAGTTAAAAGTTTATGTGTATTATGTTAAGAGTTTATGTGTATTATTTATTATGTTAGATTATGTGTATTCTGTTATGAGTTTATGTGCATTTGAATCAGGGGATTTTTTTTAACAACTTAACAAAACGACGTCGTTTTGGGAGGCGTGGGGCGCACAGTGCTATGTGCGCCCTGGTGCACGGTATAACGATTGGTTTTGCAAATCGTGGATTAATATTAACAACAACCCAATCCAATAGTCATATGACCAAAATTAACAATACCCCAATAACAACGGCACATTATATTGTGCACTGCGGTGCATAATCAATTATGCACCGCGCATCAAAACGACGTCGTTTTGTTTAGTGAAAAGAAACTGCATCCGTTTCACCTCGTTCCGCACCCTTTCGCAAAAAGTA